TGTGTTTTAGCTTAGTTTAATGTAATCTAGAATAGCCAATAAATTCTTGTTTCATTTATAAAGAATCATTGTCTTGTGTTGTAATTTTAAAGTTAAAACTCTGCCTAGATCCTTGTTACCTTGTTCAAAATTAATAAGATTACCATTTTGTTTATGTGTCGTTGGCCACGAAGTAATATGAACAGAATCGGTAATATACACGGACGTTAACCTCTCGCTGGACGGCCGTTGATAAAGTGTAAACTATCAAATTTGAAATCAGTTCTAATCAGGTTGACTCCGAATTTTCAGATTCGAGTCCTCTCAAAACCTGAATTAATTAATAATAATTAATTCCCTAAGAAAAGTAATCTGATATTACACATATACAGAATCCATTTGTGATTGCTTGTCTGAACTGACCTTCATAACCACTAACTTTACTAACTTCTATAGTAGGTACAAAGCAACACGGACAACAATGCACGGCAAAGTAATAAGAAACCCTGAATCATTCCTTACTTTTGAATACTGAAAAAAGTTGCATGCTTCGAAGGTCTTACACACACCACGCGACAGAGTATGTTCTCTGTTGGAGACATGTCACCGGGATGAAAGAACACTAGTTCTCACATCTCTCATATGACTAAATGAGTGCTTTGCACCATGTGGTGAGTGCACATTTCTACTGAAGATCATTATGGGATGCGTCACTGACAGGGACACCGTTACTTTTTTATTCCCTTTCATTTTGGGCACAGGGCCGGATCATTTGTCAGAGCCAGTGACAGATGGGCCCGTACCAAGCTGCATTCCCACAGTCCTACGCTACCAATTACTCAGAGCTCTGTTGCGTCTCTGAGCCAAACGGATGATAGCCCTGATGAAACGTGATCAAAACAGACGGAGAGCTGGAAGAGAGGTAAACCATTTCCCTGTATTATGAAGGTACGGAACATGCGGGTGTATGACTACTATGAAAGCGATGACATTCAAAGAAGGTTAATGTCAAAAAGACTTGATTAATTGGCTTGTTTGACTGTCTAAACTTCAAAAGAAAGAAAGTACTTAAATTAATTGTGTATTTTTTTATGCTGTCATTTTTTTCTCGCAATTTAAAATGCAGTATGCATTAAGTCATTCATAGATTGATTTCCTAATGAATATAAAAACTGTGGCTCTTAAGAATGTAGCACTGAACTCAAATACAATATTTTCTCAGTGAAAATAAATTATAAAAGTACAGCACCTCAGGTAACAACAACAACACCATAAAAACCCCATTATACATGTTATGAATGCAACAAATAGTAATAGACTACAACACGGTTAGGCTATATGCATCACCCCATTTCTAAACACTTCACTAAACATCTAAACTCTTGTGTTGTTTTTTTTCGGAACAAGTTTGTCTTAACGCAGGGTTTTTATTCCCTAAACAGCAGCCAGTAAACAGAAGTGCTGATGCAGTGCTCAAGGGTTGGAGCTTTATTTCAATTGAAAAGCACAGAAGGTAAGACTCATTCAAGTTCTTGAGACAATGAGCATAAAAAGAGGAGAAGCAATGATTCAGCAGGAACAATTCAGCACAGTCCAGAAGGACCTGTAAGAGTGGAAGGTCTTTGATTGATCTAGTTTGCACAATCCCATTCGCCAGCAAATCAGTTTGTTTTGCCATTAAAGAACAGACAAATCAAGGAAAAGTTCTTAGGTCTCAAATGGTCTCCAAAAAAGAAGCGAAATATTGTTTTACGCATCATATTTCATCATTTTTTTACACACTTCTGAGGAAATAATTTCACAAAATTTTACAGAAAATCAAGCTTTTTAAAAACTTTTAGCATTTTTAATAACATAGCATTCTTTTATACTTTTTTACTAAT